AAAAACTGAGGAGTAGAGACTCAAGTCTGAAGTTGGAGGATGAAATAAATGGGAGATGGTGACAAATGCGAATGGCGATGAAATAGTTTCATATCTTGGGGTCATTCCTGTGATATTACAACCCCTAATTAAATTCTGCACCGAGTTACTCTTACGGTACATCCTTCATTAAGCGCTGGATCAAAGTGATATTCTCGTAAAGTAGCTCTTACCACGTCGTGGGGCTCTCCAATATCCATCCCTAGCCTCTACACGTGAGTGAATCTTTTATATATACTTGCAGAGGACGAGCAAGTACTCGACGCTCACAAGGCCATAACGGATGCCCACTTGTGAGCGACAATCGATTCCCGGGTTTTGTCGGTTAAGATTCAAAAGTCATTTTGCACGTGAAATCGATGAATCATGCATTTTTTAGGGAATCAGTGGAGGAGATGTGGATGAATAATTGAATTGGACTTTACCAACAGTTGATCGTAGAGGTAGATATCAGGATAATCAACGAAGTCCACCATTTTTCATTCACTCAACTTCGAAAACTTGATGAATTTGTTTCCTTGAAAACTTTTATTTCGTCGATTATTCATTCAACAAAAACAACAGAAACAAATACGTTTGGTATTTTCTTTTCACCAGGGAAATGGGAGAAAAAATATCATGCGCTCACATTCGGCACCCGCACTTTCAATCTCACTGAACCGCAAATATTTCTGTAACAACTTTAGGAGAGAAGCCACACGTATTTTTATCGTTTTCCCGCAGTGATGTTCCAGTCGAACTGCGCAGGATTCAGTTGGTTCGTTCACTCTTTACGTTGCATAAACAAACGGAGATGATCCCCTTTCGTTTCAATTCCACCATCACTCGAACGTACAAATCCACAGGAAAAACAGCACCTCGATCAATTCAATTGATTTGAAATTTTTCCCCCACTTTATTTTCAAAATAACAATGGAAAATGAATGATGAAATTCGTTTGGGGATTCGCACGCGTAAAAGCGCGACTGACTGGCGTGCGGTGTTAGCAGCGAATAGGATACTCAGCGTCGTTGAAGAATGAGCAAGAAACCGGGGAGAGGCAAAATCCACGAGGCGCACGCGAAGGCGGTGGCGTCGTTGTCGCCCCCCGGTGTTGGTATTCCTCTTCGTACCCAAAGTACGCACATAATTACGTCTGTATACAGTTAATCCACCCCTCCCCTCCACATAAATCCCACAACTGATCTTGAAATTTAAATGAAAATTCTATTCTCCTCTCGTCTACGCGAGTGTTTCCCAAGTTTTCATCATTGTACAGCGCCCACAACTTTCATTCCAGTTAGGGATGAACTTTTTGTTTCCCCTTGAATTGGTGTTTGAGATATGATGAATAGCCAACGGGGAAATATAGCCTCAGGATAATGACCCAGATGGATATGAAAATACAAAACAAATACGAAAACAAAGATTCTGGGGAATACGGTAAAGTCCAAAACATATCTTGGGTGAGAAACTGGTTGTAAGCCCGCCGGGAGGATTTCTTACTTCCTCCCCCCTGCGGGCATCATGGCGAGAGAGACGAATGAACAACTGGTGTTAGAGCGCAGGTGTACAATGGAAGTAGCAAAAACTTCGTTAAGGAGAAACTCTAACAATTCTTGGGGTGGGGAAAGGGGAAGGGGGGGGGCGGAGGGAGAGCAGCCGATCTTTGTGTCGCGTGTTCATACGAACTACTTCTCTCCACAACCCTCTCTTTTCATACCACTTCCACACCTCCAACTCTCCTCAGCTTTATCTTTCTGACTTTATATAACATGAACACTAGTGAGAATTATTCCCCTTATGCAAATCAGTCCACAAGAGAATGATATATCTACCCAAGCGTTATATCAAACTCAACCCCGTTGTAAGCCAGTATTATATTCAAACCTTGAGGAATATAACCTGTAAACTAACGTTTATCTTCTCTCTTGTTTCATTCTTTAAACTGTACTATATGACGGTTTTCATACTGCTCTCGTATACGTTTTCACTCAATTCTGGCAGGTATGTATGCGCGAGTTTTGCAAGCCCTCCAATTACAACCTCATAAATCCCCAGCACCAATTTGTCGAGCACAACTTCCCTGAATTTTCGAGTTTAGTTATCAAATTGTAACATCGGGCTTTTACTTGTTTAACGATTTTTTGAAAATATGCGGAGGGCTGGGGGGGGGGGGAGGCATTAATGACTGGCTCGTAAAGTTTTACGCCGAGAAAAAAATCTGTTGAGAATTACCGCTCAATTTTGGCATGTACCGTAGTGTATTGACCTTTCAGGAGTTTCTATTCAAGGATTTCTTGAGGAACATTTCACAGATATGCTGTAATTTTTTTATGGAATACCGGTTGACCTTCAATATTATTTGATCCTTATAATTCTGCCGATCATACAGAGTTTAAACTCACTCCTCAAGGTCAATCAATAATAATTTAGTGCTTCATAATATGTCGAAAATTGCGAAGACTATACGCTGCACGATTACTAAAATTCAGGGAAAATTCTCAACACATTTTCTCTCCATTTACTGATCGATTAAATTTCGTGGTTTTTTGGAAACAGTTTTGAGAATTTTTTCATCATCCGTAAAATACAAGGCGATAAACCACGTCTCTGTGGTAACATCTGGCAATTCGTAAACGATCCAGAGGCTTGGCAAGATCGGATAAAGGTAAATAAACAGGAATTAAATCGGGAAAGGCTTTATAACATTGACGAGACGAAAGTGTGTGGGCAATGTACATGGAATTGAAGGAAATCTTGGGAAAACGCTTCTTCCCTGTCGCGTTGACGTTTGTTTAGGATACATTTTACTTCTTTTTTTTTCGATTCTTTTCATTCGTCTGAGCTTTCAAGTAGTGGACTCTGATCACAGGGAGAAAAAGTAGAGAGTAGAAAGTTGTATAACGACCGAAGTGGATTCTTTTCGTTTTCCTTGTATTGAGGGAGCAAAAAAAAACTCGAGGGTACATAGAGTTTCCGATAAAAAAGACTTTTGCGATCTTTAATTCCGACTCGGTAAGGCGTAGATCGATTTCCAGAAGGAGTGGAACGGAAACTGGCCTCGTCTTTAAATAGAAACTCACTAGATTGTATTACACCGGAGTGTGCTGCATTTCTTCTTAATTCATATATTTTTTTTCGCTCATTTGTCCTTGAAATATACCGGATGTTCATGCAAGCAAGTATTGAATCGAGAATGGGTCTGAATGGCAGATGAGACGAGATGAGAGATGATAAATTTGTGGCAATCGATGGAAAGAATTAATAATTTTCAAGCGGAAAATGTAATATGAAATGATGTTATTTCTTTTCTTTTTAAATCTTGTTCCTCTCTCAATAATTGAAATTCTTTCGAATATCTCACGCCCTCAAGCCCAACACGTGTGCGAATCTATACTTAGCCGAGTCTTTGAGCAAGCCCCATAATAAAGTATTGTTATATCGCCCATACAGTGTTTGAATATGGGTTTCAGATGTTTATAATTCTGTGTATAGAATACTCAGTATTTATGACCTCAGGTGTGTGTATATTTCGGTCGTACAGAATCATGATCCGATTCAATTACCCGATGACTTGATATTCACGAGGTAGCGTGAGTTACCTGAAGTTGTGTTGGTACAACAAGGTTTCATGGAGAAACAGTGTGACAAACAGACGTGTCCATGCGGTACATCTGTGCTCAGAGGGGTTTGTGTGTAGAATCTGTCTGTGCTTCTAACAGAGATCGCTTGGGTATACCAAGGTATACCGCAAGCCAACGGCTCGACATCTGTTTCAATACCATTACCGGATCTAGTTTACTATCTTATCTCGGTTGAAACGGAACGCGCGATGCCGGATGCCTCGGCAGATCGGCTTTGAAATTGCCCGGGATTTTCTTCAGGTATATACAGGGCCTTCCACTGAGGTTGAATCAATCGGGAATAAGCTCACTTGCATTGATAGATCGAAGGAATAAACATGGAGACTGTGTGGAACGATGATACACAACTAATTTCCGATTCTTGGCGATTGAAAATTTCACGTGATGAAAAATTCTGCATTATTGCATATGAGAGGTGAGAAAAAATGATAAATTTTATCTTCACGATTTTTTGCAGGGAAAACTAAGAAAACAAATCAGTAGCGAAGCGGTAAACCGGGTTAAGTCGATTTTGACTATTGGCCAGTTTTTGACGAATATCTGGGAATCTAAAAGAGATAGAAAAATTTTTGTCATGACCTTTTTTGTAGAGACAACTGAGGGTTATAAAAAAGGTGATGAGCAAAATTTTGCTATCTGTCTTAGATTCCGAGATATTTGTCAAAAAATGGCCAAAAGTCAAAATCGACTTAACCCGGTTTACCGCTTCGCTACTGAAATGTTTCCAAAGATTATTCAGATAATTGAAATTTTTCTGCATGAAATTTTTCTGTTCTTTGGTACATTATATTTTCGGATATTATTTGCGGAGACATATTCCTCATCTATTTCCCTTTATAAAGTCGTAATTCAAAATATCCCCATCCGTTTAAAGCCTCTCCCGCATCTCTCGACATAACATTTAAAACGATTTCTGCTGGCAGCAGTGCCAAGACCGGTGCATCGTTGTTTTCGGCGGGGGGATAGATTAACGAAACATAACGCCAGGGGTGCCTCTATACTCAACGTATCCCAAAAGTATATAATAGAGGGGGAAGAGATGCCGCCGCATCAAGGATAATGGTACGGGGCGTGTTGGCACTGCTCTGGCAGTTAAACAGTCCGCTACTATACAGAGGGAGAATTTCAAAGAGAGTATAAACACTGCTCTCCATCGATCTAGCATTCAAAAATTCCATTTTTTTTTTCACTGTCATTTTTGTTTGCTTCAGATTCCCCCGGTGGAAAATGAATTTATGAAAATAGGTATTTTTGCATCTATTTTTTCATGCGCATGTTTTATGTAAATATATCCGGAGGGATGAGAAGAGAGGAAATTTTTTTTTTCAAACTCACCCCTGGTAAAGTCCGCTTCTCATGCAGAGCGTTCTGGGCGCTGATTGCACTGTCACGGCTATAGTAGGTCAAAAATGCACAACCTGAAATGGAGAATATCTTATTAAATATTTATTACAACATTAATAGCCTGCGATTTGACCCGAATCGGAGGGAAATTTATAGCGGCGAAAAATCAATTTAACGCGAATGAAAAAAGTCTGATTGTCCCCGAGAGAGAGAGCGGAAAAATAATAATAATCAACGGGTGATTCATGCTTGAAAAAAAAAGCGATGATAATAAAAACTGAAACTGATTGCAAAAATTTAATTTTTCCAACCACCGATTTCCCACCATTTTTCGCAATGATTTAATTATCAGCGCAAGTCAAATAACTCTTTCCACAAGAATTGAAATATTCACGTGTATCCTTCGTGTAATTTATCATTAAATACTTGCGATGACATTAATAACCCGCGAGTTGAACCAAATTGAAATGAAATTTATAGCGACTGAAAAACAATTCAACATGATTTTTAAAACTCCGATTGCTCCCCAGAGAGAACGAAAAAATAATGATCAGGCGGTGATTCATGTTGAAAAAAAAAACAGCAATGATAATAGTAAAAACTGAAACTAATCGGTAAACTTTGAGAGTAATTGCGATGAGTTTTCAATGCAATGTGTCAACTAAGCCTGAGAATTGAATTCCACGGAATGATATTGTTACTTCTTGATGAACGCGTTGTACAGCCTCGAGTGAGTTGCCCACAGGAATTAAAGTATTCACCCTCATACCCTTTAGCGTCAGATAATGTCAGCCATCTTATAACGCACATAAACTAACTCCATCGACCTGATTCCACGGCTCACGCAAACTTCTCTCCCATTCTTGCTATCTCCAAGCGTTATCTCAGTCGTGTACCGACCGATACGCATATGTATATTCCCCTCCTTCTCGTATCGAAATTCTGATATTACCAACTCCAATAATTCACTGTTACAAAGTAATTTATCGTCTCAGCATTAACCAGTGGTCACGTGTTGGCTATACAATATTGCAAGTGGAATCACAAATTTTCATATTGCCCTGTGGTTGATACCATTTTGAAGAAGCAAATTATAGGAAAACGATCCATGTAACTGGTTAAAACGACGGTAATTAACCTCCCCTTGTTAACTAGTTGATGCTGAACTATTATCGACTATTCGTATGAGTTTGAGAGTTTGTACAGGGAGAGTGTGCCTCACTCAACGTTTACCTGTTGGCTTGAGGATTTATTCAAAAGGGTTGTGTGGGTCCACAAAACATGGCCATATGCCGGTAACAGCCATTACGAGGGGTCAATGATATTTTCGAGAGGGCACACGAATCTCTGAAGAATCATGCATTCATCTGCCTCACAATCATGAATAACATTATCTGGAGAATTAATCAGTGAGTAATTGAATTCCATCGACCATCAGCTGTAAGATTATGAACAATATTGGGAGAAATTGACTGAAGAAGCTTCCGTCATTTTTCCAGTAATCCCGTGAAGCTACATGGTGAATGCTTTTATGAGCGATATTGTGAGTAATTTGTGAGCTTGCAAAAAAGTCTGTGAGCGCGCACAGGGCTTTCACATCCCATCGAAATCTACATAATCTATCCGTCGTATCGTATAAAGCTCCTCTCATCCAATGATATACGATAACGCGCATTTTCTCGCCTCTCCACGAATTTTAATAGAACACATCCAGGGATAAAGATTTCAATATTCATGCACGTAACCAAAAAATATAAAGATGAAATATTATTATAGAAGGTGGAAAGAAATGGTGAGGAGAATATCCGAAGAAAGTAGTTTTCACTGAAGAAAAAACCCAGAGTATGCATGTAATTTTTCATCCCAGGACCTCTTATCTCGGAGGCACGGTTACGCGGTCTGTTGATACGGACGGTATGACGTACACTCGAGAAGCAGAACGGGTTGGGTAGAGTGCTTCTTGAATAAGGGAAGTATAGAGAGAGACTACCGGTTATGGAACTAAAAGTTTCTTCGCACCCGCGGGCTGTCACGCCAGCCACATTTGCCTCTTGTATGTAACAACGGGACACTATCACGGCTACCAAGTGTGTTGGGACCAAAAATGCGAATGCAGTGTATATCCACAATGGTTCGGGTAAAATTGCGGTGAGAGACTAGAGGGAGCTGTTGGTTTTAGATCCGTTGGAAAATAGGAATATTACGTAATATTTATAAACATCGTGGTAGGTTCTTATCTTAATTGCATTGGGACAGGTTGCATGACGCTCTTATTCCCCGGTTATACTGGGCCCAGGCTATGTATCACATGGGAATACACCGAGAGAGTTCATAAAAGATCGTTCGGAATTGCGGAAAGCACTAGACTCATGTGGAATAAAAGATTCTGCAGCATAAGAAGGCTAAAAATTCAAGTCTCGAGATAAGAAAAATCCCAAGGTATTTCATCCACGAAATTCTAACCTCCACTGGTAAAAATAAAGGGTATTAAAAGAATACATCGGCGCGGAGGGCGGGGAGGGGGGGGGGAGGAGGAGGAGAAAAAAAAAGATAAAGCACTGGTAATATTGCATGTCTAGGAAGATTGAACGTTCACGCAGAGTCGAGACAGAACCCCGCCCTCCTCTCTGAGGCCTTTCGTCCTCGATACAATACTGGGAAAAAGGTGAAGCCGGTGTATGAGAAGGCGAACCAACGGTTATCGTCGGCCAGAATCGGCTTATCCATCACTTGGGTCGCTTGCTGAACTCCCGAGGACGTCCACCACCTGATGGCCAGTACTGGCGCGTTAATGCGAGCTCGTTTAGTTTCCAGTTTCTTATCTTTAACCTGCTATGCTATATAGTGTTTCGAAAATTTATAATATTCTACCGGCGGGAAGTTATCTTGGGGGTTTTAGGTGGAGACGTGTATAAAGGGGGAGACGAGGAGATCTCGAGGAGGCTCACAGAAGGTAGAAGGGATAGAGAGGGATGGAAGAGGAGTCGCTATCTTTCGGTTGGGTCGTCACGCGTACCTCGTATCGCACGCCATGTCGCGAAATAAAACGGATATTGTGGTGGTGGTGAGGGGGAAGGGAGAGAGGAGGGCGGAGGAGGGGGAGTATACACGGTATCACTGTGAGGCACGTACATACTATACTGACAAAAAGATCCCTTCGATGAAACTGTCATGCAAAGCTCGTTGGCTTAATTAATTCAATTGAAATTAATTAGTTTGAATTGTTACACCAGTAAAAGTAAGATTTTTTTATTCATTACCTCTCACGAAATGCTTGAAAATGCCCGAGAAGTTTCAACAACTTTGGCAAACTTGATATTTTGATGTGTTATATGCCAAGAAGTTTGGACAGATCGAAGGAGAGTTTTTGGACGAGTTTCTGAAGACGAGAAAAGAGAGATAGATGAGATTATATTTCGAGCGATAGTAGAATAGGGGGGGTATTCGATTTTCCTAAGAGAACGGAGAACGGAGGGAACAGGAGGCGTTTTATTTTCTCAAGAGGCAATGCGATGGCTAATCCACCAGTCACTGGACAAGGTCCAAGTCATAAAATGGATTTTATGAGGACGATCGATGCAACTCGGATATTTTCGTTATCCCCGCCTTTGCGTATACACATCTCTCAACCAATTGCTTTATTTTTCCATCACTCACACCCCTAGACTTTTCTATCTCACATGTTCCCTGAAAGTCTATCCCTCCCCCCTCCCCTGTCTAACGTTTTCATCGACGGAAAAAGTCGAACGACTGGAATGATGAATAATCCATTCACATCGCCTGTTAAACCGACAATTGAATGTCCCAGTGACTTTCCCCAAGGGATCTCTTTCATCCGTTATGAATATAAATGCTGATGATTACCGTTCGACGTGTGTGCTCCACTTTCAGCCGGAAATGTATCATCGGCATTCTGTTTCGAAAGTAGACAAGTAGAAATGGAAGGCATCCAATATACGATTTTGCAGTTGAAACAAAGAATACTTGAGACATAATAACAAATAAAAGTGACTCATACACAAGTATATAACACCCTCTCGCATTTAGTTTTTTTTTTTGGATATGTATACTGCCAACAGTTATACCCAGAATCATCGTTTTGTGTTGTGTAATGCCCATGGAGGCGCTAATAACACTATTCGCGGAGTGTTGCACGCGCTTTCACGGGTACTCTCTACTATGCTTGGGTTGATGCCGGAGAGGGTTGTTGCAGTAGAGCGTGTTGCGCAGAGGAAATTGAAATATGCAAACAACCGCAGTCCCGACGCCCACTGATACTTGTGTATGTATATGGCTCTCATCTACAGGACTACTATGGCTCGTTCTGTTGCATTGTGAGCTGTGCTTGTCTTCCCAGGCTTTCTCCATTACCGAACGCAGTTGGTAATCCTTCGTATTGAGTTTCCGCAATGGAAGTACCAATTTTATGGGCTTGGGTGTGCATACCGGGGGTACATGGTTTTCCACTTTCATCAGGTTACGGCCTTGAGATAGATACAGGCAAGAATCTCAATGGAAGAACCGACAGTTTTGACACTCGTAAAGATAGAACCGCGAAAAATTCATGGAAAAGATGCTACAGACGCGCATAAATGAAAAAATTTCAACAGCTGGATGATCTTGATTTATTTGAGCGTCAGTATTTACTTCTGGGAGCTGAACTGTCAGTACTATTATGAGCGGAAAGTCACAGTATTCGGATAATTATTCAAGCTTCGTGAACAACACGCGGTGTCTGGAGTCTCGTGAGCACAATTGTGAGCACCACGAAGAATCAACAGTTCTGACACTCGTAAACCTACAGTACGTCAACCAAAAACTCATGTAAAATGCTCCAAATGCATATAAATAACTGGATTAAGGGGAGCGAACGGAGTATTAGACACCGGAAACCGGAATTTCTCCAGTTTCCTCCATTCAGAGAAGTTTCGCACCATAAACTCTGCTCAGTGCGTGTATATAAAGGGACCTTGTACTTGAGAGGTCTATAACTGAAGAACCATACAGCCACACTTCACATCTCAGTTACTGCCTCGTTTCTACTCGATATATTGTAACCGAATTAACCAATTCC